CAAGTAAAATCTAGATTCGGAAGCCGCAAACTAGAGCTGGGTGTCAGTCACTGAGCGTGTGAACCAGCCACCACGTGCAGCAGGCCCTGGAGCGATCCGTTACGCCTGCGTTATGTAACCCCGTTCTCCCTCAATGTACCCTACATCCAAGTCGTTTTATCTATAAGTTCGCTACCAAACAAAGAGTTTTATTTTAGGGTCGAAGGCCCTTACTACGACCACACACATCACGATTTGCAGGACTAACTCTCTGGGTGGGTTTTAATCACCGGGCCAATTTTTCATTAAAATATGCGTGAAATGGGTCAGTGCTGAGACGCCTTCGGTCCCCAAAGCAATAATTGCGGCTGTGCGACTTCAGAAGCCAACATGGAGTTGTCCGGATCTTTTGAATGGTCGTTCGTGTGGACATCCTTACCGTAGGTCAGCCATTAGCACAGAATTTTTAATATGCTAGAAACCCTTCGTTTGGTCAAGTTTCGAATCATAAAACAAGTCTTATGGTTGAAATATTTAAAAAAGGGGCGATCGATCGACTGAGAAATGAGGAATACGTCCACCACATTGTCTTCACGTTTTATGCTCGAAGAAAGGGTATATTTAGTGCCTAAAAAGTTCCTAACTATGAGATTTTCTAAAATCCTGCAATCTGTTTTCATACAGCATCGCACCTGTCCGTTTGTCAATGCCTCTCATGAAATGTACGACATAGTCCACATCCACTATAACATTTTATGAACTCTATATGGCATCTTTTTAAAAACGTAGAGGAATATATGATTTTCATTATGCGGAAAGCAGGCATCTTGTAGATTGAAATCGATAAACGCTAATGCAGAGGCTGATCAGGCTCAAAATTATTCGGGAATCGGGAAACTTTTTCAAAAGCCAATTATACCCTTTCTTCGAGCATAAAACGTGAAGACAATGTGGTTCTCTACCAAACGAGTAAGAAAAACCATACGTTTGTGCATGTTTTCTATAGAACTTATTTGAATGTTTGAGACCATCGAAAATCAGTGTGAAAAATGCATGCTATTTAAGCAGTCATTTTTTACCGAGTGCGGCTTCTGAAGGAGGTCGAAATGAGGTGAATCCAAAAGCCAACATCTTGGCGGGTCCGAAATATTATGGGACTATACCGCGTGAGGATTAATATTACATCCCCACCTGAGTAATCCTTCCTAATCGAACGCACATTTTAGAATTTCAGCCAACATTTCATGAGATCGGTCACTCATTGTAATTAGGGATTTTACGGGAGCGACACTATAGAGCGCACCCTTTGGACGATTTTTATGCGCGATAACAAACCAATCAGCAAATCGCCAGGTGCTTGTCTGAAAAAATAAATAAACCATTTAATTTAGCATCCGTAAGTGTGCTTTTATTGTAAATAAAATGCATTTTCGAACAAATTTTAGAACGGGTTGGCAAACACTGTACAGGGCTCAGTTTATGCTTATAAAATGGGCAGTCTGACATCAAAACAGTTGGCGAACAGTGAAAATCCTTCAAATTTGCTTGAAAGAGACGGAACGAATGTGATTTGATTAGTTTTCAAGGAAAGTGAGTGCATACAAGGGCTCGAAACGTTCCACGCGAAGGTAGAATTTCGAAGCCGGATAAGGCTATTTGCTCCAGGTACGATCATAATGTTTTTGGCCTGACGGCAGAAGCAACCGTTAAGATGGCGAGACAGGGAGAACCCACCGCGATTGGTCACATTCCGTTAAGAGCCCAAGCGCCTCTGGTCTTCTTGACTCTGTCTTGACACCGAGCCTAGGTGGGAGAGGAGGGAGGAGTACGGTAGATGCTGTGCAAGTTTGTTACTACATTAAACTATCTCGCACTTAAGTCAACGCCCCTGCTTCTACCCTGCTTCTGAGCGCACAACGGCTAACCTCGGCCACGACGGTCGACGTGTCGTCGTCGACTCACCTACCAGAAATGCCTGGTTAAAGTGCACAGCCTTATGACACCAACGGCATATACGAAACCGAATTTTGAAAAAAAATTAGGAAGAGTTGAAGACCTGCCCAAAGCACCTCAGGCGTGTCCGCACACTTTTCCAGGGGAAAAAACAAACGAACCAAACTAACACAGGCTGAGGTAGCAGGTCAAGAATAAAAAGGCAGTGAAAGTGCGGAGCGGTGCAAAAGGTTATAGAAGGAAGGAACTTCTGAATAGAGACCAAGTGCGGGGGTCAATAGCCGACGCTTGATATCATGATGGAGTTTAAATTGCAAAAACAACGAACAATGAAATGGGAGGGTCAAAGTAAGTGGTCTGCGTGGTCGGCGTGTAAAAAACGAAACGCAGTCCAGGTAACCAGAATTGCCATATATGATGGGTGTTTTGTAAGGACTATTGGCCGGAGTATAAGGCCATAGGGGGGGGGGGGCTGTTCGTCAGCGCAAAGACCAGGCAACCGGAAACAACACGTCAACCGACGCGGGAGCCTGCTCCTGAGGTGTTGACACTGCAATTTACAACCTATCCAAATAGATTAAGTAGCAACGAAAGTTAAATCTTTTTGTAACCATTACGACATGCCAGTCCGCATACAATAAACAATCTAGGTGATTTTACTCACATTGGCTCCAGTGTAATTTTTCCTTACAAATAGGTTTAGGGTTTCGCTGCACTTCTCTGAGACAGCGATGGCTAGCATGACTAATCGTATGGACAATCGAAAGAAGTCAGGTCGGTGCAACATTTGTACTTGGTATCCGACTTATCCATACTTGGTAATTTACTAGCTGAAGCTCGGGAACAAGCTCTGTCAGTGGTAGTCGGGAAGCTTACATAGCAGTGACTTTAATCGACCTGTATAAATGCAGAACAGCATAGTGGCATACCGTTTTGCTTTGAATATTCGTTCGATTGTCATTTGAGGCATTTACATGGTGTCTGTTGTCAGCAAGTGCCTGATGCACAAGTCAGGAAGTCAATGAGGGAGCTGGTAAAGACCAGTTCAGTTCCCTATTTTGTCCATAGAAATTATTGAGCAGTGATTCCTTTTCGTTGTGATATTACTTGTCGGGTCTCAAATGAGATTTCCTAATTTCATCCTGGAGTCAGGTTAGGTTGGTTGATGTTTATCTAATGAGACGGGAAATTGGATCGACATCTGAAGTCCTATGTTAACCGAGCTTGTGGCTGTCCAGATAGTAGATATACCATAATGTCCCCCATAACATGTCACGCACAAGTTGCACCGGACCAACACGGGGCCAGATCTTGGTCCGACGAGCGTTATTTGGCTGCGCACCCATAACACATGCATAGAAGCAGGCTCATGCAGCGCCGATCATCTTCATCTCCGGTCTTCTTCACTGTGCCTTGACACTCGGCCCATGTGGGTGAGAGAGCAGAGAGAGCAGTAGATGTTGCGCAAATCCACTGTCACTATAAAGTATTTCGTTCGCGAGTTACCGTCCTTGCGTCTATAATGACGCGGGGAACACGGTGGACATCGTCGGTAACGACGGTCGAACTGCCGGATGCAGTGCCAAGGTGAAAATCAACTACAAATCCTGTTTGGCGAGGAACACGAGGAAAACCAGGTAGGGACGACGTTGTAATGAAAAGAGCGGATTTGTGTAGCCTCAGCAGTTGGCGCGCAAGCGGTAACAAGACTAGGGCTTGAGTCAGCTAAGAGGGATATAATGAGTACATTAACACACATACCCCTTCAGCGTATGAGACGGGTCTATTAGTCCACACGCGTGCTACTGAAATCTGCTGGCTGATCTGAAGAGTCCTTGCAGTATTCCCCTGAGGTGGTGATTCAGTCGGCTGTGACGCTGACTTTGCTCAGACCAGCAGCGATTGGCTAGGACAAAAGTTGGAGCCCACAAGATTTGTTATCAATAAAATTAAAATTACAGGAAGACTCCTCGGTTAAGACGGTGCAGTTTGTCCATCACACTAGTCAGTTCACTATAAATAGCTATTGATAATGCAGGAGACGAAAAACACTTTAGAATCTTGCCGATAGAAGCGAACAGGCGAGTTCCATAAAGCAGTTCAGAAGATAAAGATGCAATCACTGAAACAAGAAGTTTATTGGCTTGACGTTTCGGGCTCTCAGACAGACGGAGATAAGGATTATGGACCTGAGAACAATGAGTCGAGCAGCTCGCGGCCCACGCGATTGTCACCTCTTGAGAGGGCTTTGACTCCTTGAATTTTTAAAATATGGTCGGGTTCCGTCAAAAGAACCGTCACTGGAGAGCTAGCGTCTTTCCTCCCCCTTCTGCTACGTGCTCGGTCACCCGCGTCCGGAGTAATCTCACAGTTTCCCGGACGTAGTTGCTCTGTCCGCAACTGCACCAGATCCGGCAAACGACTCTTGATGTTTCCTGCCGTGGCAATGGGTCTTTCGGCCTCATGACTTGGTCTGACGGTTGCCTCCGGTCTGTGCGCAGCTCCAACTCCTAGTGGTGTACGGAGGCGGCTGACGACTTCGGAGACTTTCTTAACGTACGGGAGCGCTCTCCAAAATTGGAGGTCGATTGGGGATTTTCCCTCGCCGCGTTTACGCATACAGCGGCTGGCGAAGTTGCCAGAGTTCCCATTCGCTCTTAAC